CCCCCGGGCCAAAACCAAAGGCTTCGATTCCGAAGGAAGGGGTCTGAGAGCAGCGCATGAAGCAGGGGCTCTGCCTCTGGTGCGGAGAGGGGGGCCACTATGCTGCTTCATGCCCAGGGTCCGCCCTTCAGGCCAAAGGGGCAACAGGATACCCCGCTGAGGAAGAGCACCGCCAGCGTGTCGTGCAAGCCAACATCACAGAAGGGGGTTTGGAGCTCAGCAGCGAGGAGGAGAACGAGCCGGCGGGAAAAGGCCAGGGCCTGCTGTAAGCGGCGCAGAGCAGCAGGTCCCGCATCAAATGGTGCCATGGACAGTAAGCAATTACCCCCCCCCCCTTTTCAGAACTCATGTGAGGGTGCGGCCGTTGATAGACTCGGGGTGTGCCAGAGACTTGATTAACCCCTCTTTGGTTACGGGCTTGGGGGCTCAGGTAGCTAAACTCCCTGAACCCATCATATTCACCCAGATGGACGGCTCAGCCATGAAGGAGCCGTGCAAGTACGAGACGGTTCCCTTGCAAATGGGGGCGGGGGATCACTGGGAGCAACGGATCTTCGTCATCACCCCTGCCTCCTGATTCCCACTGGTCCTGGGGAGCCCGTGGTTACATGATCACGACCTGTATATTTTGTGGAACGAAGGGTGAGTGTGGTTTATATCCCCTAAATGCCAACGCCACTCCTGAGAGGAGGCTTGGGGTCAGGCGCCCCCAGACAACCCCCCCATGCCTAGCGCAAGAAGAGCTTTCCGCTATCCCTCCCGAATATAGAGACTTGGCTAAGGTGTTCGAGGAGGAGGAGGCGGACGAACTACCCCCTGCACCACTCTTCTGACTGTGCTATTGAATTGCTCCCTGGGCAAAAACTACCCAAGGGCAAGTTGTACTCCATGAGCCCAGGGGGGGGGGGGAAAGGTAGAATTACGGAAGTTAATTGACAAAAACCTGGGGGGGGGGCCCCTCCATCATGAGCACGAGGACATCACTTCTGGAGGTGATCATGGGTGACTCAAGGGATCACCGGAGATTGTACGGTTTCCTTGCGCTTGTGACGCCTGGTGAGTTGCTTTAAAATAACTTCAGTTTCTAATTCATCCATCACCTTGACTGTGGCTTGGGAGTCCGATTCCGTGTAAGGCAGCTCGAGGTGAGCTCTTGTTTCAGCCTCATGGCTGCCTGCTCTCTCCTCTCCTTCTGAGCAGCAGGTGACTGTGGCTCCTCAAAGAAAAGCTGGAATTGGCTCACATTTATGTTTGTGGATGCTCTGTGAAATATGCTGGGTTCAGAAACGTAGAAGTGATCAGCTCATAGTTTATTAGTGATTCAGCAAGAGAAAGGAAGCTGGGTATTTATGCCTGAGAAGGGTCACACCCAAAACACGCCCCACTCCCAACGATAGGCTATTTACACTCTATTGCTTCCCAGTTGGCTTACTCCAGGATCCTTGTCCCCCTACTGGTCCATTCTAGGATCCTGGCAGCCTATTGTTATGCATCCCAAGCTCAGTCCTTTTGCCAGGGCAGTTCAGGCTCAATACGTAACACTCTGATTACTACGTCGCCTCATTTTCCATCTTCTGTCTACCCTGGAGGTCCGTTCTGTATCCCATGATCAATATCTCCCATTCAAGGTCTTGACCCTCTTCTCTCTTATCCTGTGCACTTCACTTACTTTATTTTCATGATTCCAGACAAATGAAGAAAAGGGGAGAAGGGCAGGAGGGACATTTTCCATCAAGTGTATTTGTTTCACCATAAAAATGGCCAAAGATTAAGTCTGATCCTCCAGAAACATTGAAATCTTGTAATTACCAAAGGAAAGGTAGCTAGTAAGATCAAATCAGTCAATCCTACTAAAAGAAATCAACCCTGACTGTTCCCTTGAAGGCCAGATAATGAAACTGAAGCTCAAATACTTTGGCCACCCAATGAGAAGGGAGCACTCACTGGAGAAGACCCTGATGCTGGGAAAGATTGAAGGTCAAAGAAGACGGGGACGGCAAAGGATGAGATGGTTAGGCAGTGTCATAGATGCAACGAACACGAAGTTGAGCCAACTTCAGAGGACGGCAGAAGACAGGAGGGCCTGGCGTGATCTGGTCCGTGGGGTCGCGAAGAGTCGGACTCAACTGTGCGACTGAACAACAACAACAAGCTGAAATGGAGGAGGAGATATTTGTTGTCATTGCACGGCCGGTTAAATTAACTGATCTGCATCATTGCTGGAGTTCTCTCCCTCAAAGATAGAGCCTTTCTTCAATCGTGGGTTGCCCAAGTTGTCTCTGTTCTTTACAAGAAAGTGCTTCATGGCAAGGTCCTTGAGTGGCAGGGGTGGAGGGTGTCGAGACGGAGACGCTGGCCAAAGGGAGGCCCTCAGAAGGAGCAAGGGAGTCGGGATAAGGGCAGAGAGAACCTGAGGGAAGGGATAGGTGGCGGGGGGGAGGGAAAGGGAGGAATACAGGAAAGTGAGCACCGTCCTCTGCGGTTCATGGATTGTTTCCAGTGCTTTTATTGTAAAGGGTGCAGCAGGCAGTTTGCCATCCAGCTGAGGCTCCATTGTGGTTTGATCAGTCTTTCTGTGTCAAGGGAACTGGGACCAGTGCTGCTTTTCCTGTGGTGAAAGAATATGAATGGGGGAGCGTTTCCTCGGGGGGGGGGAGGCAGGAGGTCAGCTGGTGCCTGAATATATGGGAATCATCCTGCCGGAAGCCAGTAGGTGGGTTGGCTTTTTTTTTTAAATGGTGATCTTTTAGAAACAAGATCTACTTTTTCGCAAGATCGCGGCTATCTCTGTCTTTGCCACGTTCTCTGTTTGAACTTCAGCTTTGGCTTTGCTATGCGCGATGTGGGGTGTTTACTTTTTCCTTTCTCTTAGCAAAGTGCTTTAACGTGTTAATGAGCGCTTTTTAAGAGATATAGATCTATAAAGCTTTTATTGCATAGGATCTTTCTCTGTGCCACTTAGACAGTAGTTTCATTTTTGGCGCTCTTCCTAGTCCGTGGTCTGTTTCTAGGACAGAACAAAATTTGACAATGTATTGGGAGGGTTGTGTAGGAAGCAAATTTTATATATTAACAGGGAATCTTAAATTGCATTTATGTGTTTTAGTAGCTCATTACTCAAAAGCAGCCCTCAGGAAAGAAAACATTGGTGACCCCAGTATAGGATTGCATTGCCATTTGTCAGTGTTTTCAGACTGGCCTTGAAATTTTGCCCTCAGAGCCGCCCTTACTTGATCTGGCTAAGTCAGGTTATGTCTCTCTGTTAAAAATGATTTGCTAACCAGGGCTGTACACCCCTGGAGCTGTTGACCCAGGCCTCAGCGGTCAGGAGCGACAGCATGAACCGCAGTGCTCTGGGTCAGGCATCAGGCAGTGCTAATTCACGGTGTCCGGTTGCAGGGAACAACAGTGCCAGAGTACCTTGTGCGTAACTCCCCTGGCTTCCATGGATCAGGCTGTTAATGCTTTTCTCTTATCTAGCCAACTACATATCCACATAAGAGCAGAAATAGAGTAAGAGCTGTGAATTGGAAGTACCAACTCCCTTGCTCACTCCCGCACGGTTCTTACATGTGCTTTTCTTGCTAGCCAAATATGGTTAACTCATCGGTATTGTGCCAATAGGTTGTTAAACTAGAGTTGCCAGCGCTGGGTAGGGATTTTGGGGGTGGGGCCTGGGGAGGGCGGGATTTGGGGAGGGAGCTCATCAAGGTACAGTGCCCTAGACCCAGGGGGGTGGCCAGACTTGCTCAGCGTGAGACCCACATAGAATCAATGTCAGATGTTTGAGAGCCACAAGACAGGAATAAATATCACAGACACATTTTTATTTAAAAAATATGCAGCTTTGCTTTTTATTAACATTAAATGAGACTGCCAAAAACACACACAAAAGCGGTAAAAACAGATAATGATATTTATTGGTCTAAGAGAGAGAGAAAGAGGGAGGGAGGTGGAAAGAAAAAAGGAAAGAAGTGGAAAGAAAGAGAGAGAGAGAAACAAAGAAAGCAAGTTGATGGGAGGGAGGGGGAAGGAAGGAAGGAAAGAGTTGGAAAGAAAGAAAGAGAGAGAAACAAAGAAAGCAAGTTGATGGGAGGGAGGGGGAAGGAAGGAAGGAAGAGAGGGAAGGGGGTAGGGAGAAAAAGCATGCCTTTCACACAGTGTCTGTGAACGAGCCGCATGTGGCTCCCAAGCCGCAGTGTGGCCACCCCGCCACAGAGTCCACCTTCCAGCGCAGCCATTTCTCCAGGAAGCTGATCTCTGTTGCCTGGAGATCAGTTGTCATAGTGGGAGGCCTCCAGGCCCCACTTGGAGGTCGGCAACCCTCGGTTAAGCCCCAGTCTCTGGTGCATTGCAGCATTAGTGAGGCTTTCTCTGGAAGTGGCGGAGAGGAGAGGAGAGGAGAGGAGAGGGAGGGAGGGAGGGATGGAGGGAGGAGGGGGGAAACGTAGATCCCACGTGGCTGGTTGAGATTCAAGGTGGATCTCCAGTCTAAAAAGGTCTGCAAATTCTTAATTTATCCATTATACTCCACTTTTCTCCCTAGTGGGGATCCAATGTGCCTTATAACATCATTCTCCCTGCTTCCCTTTTATCCTCACAACAACTCTGCGAGGTAGGTAAGGCTGAGAAAGAAGAGAAAGTGACTGGCCCAGGGTCACCCAGCAAGGTGCCATGTCAGAGTAGGGATCTGAACCTGGGTCTCCAGATCGTAGCTCAGCACTCTGACCCCCGTGCTCTGCTGGCTGACATTCAACCGCTTGCAGAAGAATATGGTAAATAAGAAGAAAGAAATTGGCCCCGGTAATTAGTAAGAATAAAAAATATAATTTTATCTGGATTTGGGGACTCTGCAGTTCAACAGAGACGTAGCGATTGCCCAAAATCTGCGTGGCTCATTGATGTGGATTAGCACGCCCCCCACCCCACATAACTATGATTGTGTATCGTGACTGGTTTAAAGACACAATTCCAGATAATACTGTACCTTTTTTTTTCAGATAATGGCTCTGGATCAGGAGAAGGAGGTAGGCATTGCTGCTGTTTCTTATCCTCCGTGTGAATGCTGGGTGACCAATGTTCCCTCTAAGCAATGGAGTCTTGTGAGCAAAAAATCTACTCTGTGAGCTACTGGCATTAAAGTTGTGAGCGAGCGACTTGGCTACTGCATAATTTAGTTTGCTCTGAAGCCCTCCTTCCTGAGATAAGGCAAAAATGTGTGAGCCGGAGGCTAAAAAACTGTGAGCTAGCTCACACTAACTCAGCTTAGAGGGAACACTGGCTGGGTCCCTGTTTCAAAAAGTATTCTCTGAGATGCGATCTGGCAGTCCTGCCTTTGCTTTGTCAGTGGGGAATACAGCTTAATTACAGTGCAGTTTTATTTCTCATGCTTTTAGGTGTGTAACACTAACCATAGCATGTGCTTGTTTACCTAACAACGTTTAATTTAGGTACTTAAAAATATCCCAGACTTAATTGCGGACAGATGGCACCCGAACAGCCGAGGCTTTTGGGCTGGGGAAAGGACATGCTTGTAATACAGATTGTCATGTTAATTATTATTGAAGTAATTTGCTTCAGATTCCCTGAGTGTAAAATTGGGTTCCTTAAGTATGGAGGCTATGAAGAGCTCTGGCAGACTGCATTTAGTGATGAGTACACTGATAACCAGCATGTGCTTTTCAAGCTCCGTGCCATCTGTCTGTGGCACTCACTGGGCATACCAGCCCCTGGTGGTGGCAAGGGACTTGGGCTGGTGTGTTTCTGAACCATGACACAGATATACTTTTGTAACTGTGAAGCTGCAAAAGCCCTATATCAGATGCAGAATAACATTAACCAAACGTTGTGACTTATAACTAAAATATTTTCCTCCCATGGGGCGGGGGTGGGGTGCTCAAAGAGACTTATGAATGGGAACAGACATAAAATTGACAAAAACCTGTGTACCCCAGTAGGCCTCCCCCAGTATAAACCAGGGATGATCCTGCCATCACAGCATCCACAAGACCAGCGGCGAAGAGGCACGCCCAGGCTTTACAGTATTTCCCAAGGAAACAGGGACAGATGTTCAGCCCCGGTCTGATTGGGCTGGCTGCCATGTTTCTATTTCCCTTCCTCCTCCTCAGCTGCAGTTGGTGATGCTTAAGAGAGATTTGCAGTCAATCCTGAACAGAGTTGCAGCCTTCTGAGCCCAATGAGTTTAGAAGGCTGCAACTCCGTTTAAAACAACGCTGCTAAGAGATTTATTTAGGAGCTGGCAAAGTGCAGTGGTTAGGAGACGGAGGCGTGACCAAGGAAGGTGCTGGTTCCAGGCTTGTCTCTCTGTGAGTGCTACCTGCCTCACTCTTCGCTACAGCTACCAACTCTTCATTGGGAAATTCCTGGCAATTCAGAGCCTAGAGAGAGTAGGGTCTGAGGAGGGGGCAGACCTCAGTGGGGTGTAAGGCCATGCAGTCCGTCCTCCAAAGCAGCCATTTTCTCTAGGGAATCTTCTCTCTGTAGGCTGGGGATCAGTTGTAATTTCAGGCTACTTCCAGGCCATACTCAGCTGCAATCCCCACTACAGGGGAAGAATAATGTTCACCAGTGGCTGGAAAGATCATCCAAAGCAGCCATTTTCTCCGGGGAATCTTCTCTCTGTAGGCTGGAGATCGGTAGTAATTTCAGGCTATTTCCAGGCCATACTCAGCTGCAGTCCCCGCTACAGGGGAAGAATAATGTTCACCCAGTGGCTGGAAAGATCGCAACAAGGTAAATGTACTTTATCCAGTGCTTTTTCTTTTGTCCCCACCATTCTCCAAGGGCCACAAGGGTGGTGAGCACAAGGAGGGAGGGAGACAGGCCCAGCGTCACCCGGTGGGCTTCAGGGCAGAGGACGGATTTGAACCCTGGTCTCTACAGCATACAGGCTGATCAGCAGTACCTTCCTATGTATTTATCAGGTTTTGTGGCCAAGGGTGATACAGTTAAGAAAGAATTAAGCGTTGAAGGAGAGACCATCTGCCTCCTGGTGGTATCTAAGAAGAAGAAGAAGAAGAAGAAGAAGAAGAAGAAGAAGAAGAAGAAGAAGAAGAAGAAGAAGAAGAAGAAGAAGAAGAAGAAGAAGAAGAAGAAGAAGAAGAACCCAACAACAACCCGACAACAACAACAACAACCCGAGTGGTGGTGGTTGTTAAGAGAGCTGCTGAAATTCTTGCCGCTAGGGTTTTTAAGACCAAGTTGTTTGAAATGTAAATAAACCTGTTCAGTTCCTTGACACGTGCCTGGGGACACTCTTTTAGAAGCACAGACTTAAACAGCTGGAAGGGGGCACAGACCATCCAGTCCAACCCCCTGCACCGTGCAGGATGAGACCTAAAGCACCCAGTCTCCACTTAAACACGTCGAAGGAGGGGCAACTGCCCTTATTGTCAAAAGTTTCCCCCTAATAGCATGCCAGTATGTCCCCACCTGTAGTTCAAACCCATCATCACAAGTCCTGTCCTCCACTGCCGAGTGAAAGAGCACCCTACCCTCCTCCAAATGACCTGAATACTTAGAAATCGGACTGACAAAAGCTCATCTTCAAATACACGTCCGTGTCACTGGGCGGTTTTATTATACACGGAGACAAACTGTCATTGGAGATACCGAATGCCCTCAATTTCGCCAGTACCATTCATGCTCCAGGATGGGATTAAAAAGGTCCGTCAGACGCCCTTCAAAGGGCCACCTTTATCTGTTGATTAGTACCTTAAAGAGAAAGTCTGGCAGAGAAATTCTGCTTCACACCCAGGCTAGTAGTTTGCTGCACTCACACCCCACAGTGGCGGAATGAGAGGCAAAGGGCTGTTTAACCTGCAGGCCGTGAACAGATGACCAGTGGAATCAAGGATGCGTTGGCTGAAGAACTGTCGTAGAAGCTGTGACAGTTTGCATGTCAAAGAGTTCATCCCGTGGGGCACCTGTTTTGTCACTATTTAACAAGCAGAAACATAAGATGTCCTTTAAAAATATGGGTATGGAGGTTACCTTTAACCCAGAGTGGCCTTACACTTTTTCATTTCATCCCCACCACAACCCTGCAAGGCAGATCAGGGGGCAAGAAGAATGTGATGGGCCCAAGGCCACAAGCAGGTTTTCCAGGCAGAATGGCCTTTGAATCCGGGTCTCCGGGATCCTAGCCCTGTGCTGAAATCACTACAACAGACCGGCTCTCACTCCAAATGGTGTCACATAGGAATGACTCCAGAGACAGTCTGAACCCAGCTGAAATAAGGGCTCTCTCCCAGAAGCAGCAGTGAAACTGAGAGCCCTGGGGAGAGTCCGGGCCAGTCCCTGGTAGGAAGAAGAGCGGATGGGCAAACATGAAAACGACAGGGGAAACTGCCACTGAAGGACTGGGCTCACGGGGGCAGGCTTATCATCGATATTTGGGAAGCAGAAGCAGCTGGGGAGGCCCAAACCATCACTGGTGGTTCCAGAGGCTCCGACAGGGAGGCGAATGGCTCAGGCCTGTCTCCAGAAGGCATATTTGCTGATCGGTTCCAAGTTCCCCAGGGAGATAGCAATAGCAAGCCTTGCCTCCAGCTGAAACGGTACCCAAGCCGAAAGCCCCTTGTCATCCGTGTTGAGAGACTGCAGCCAGCCGGTTGAACCGAAGCTGCGGTGTCACTGGGTGTGGTCAGATGGGCAGGTTGCCGCAGCAGTATATCGGCTCTAAATAAGCTGCTTGAGTTTGAGATGCTTTGCGTCGATCGCACGGCAAGCGCTAAGCCGGCCTCATAGTGCCGCGGGCCCATGGTCAGCCGTTCACACCGGCAACGCACTGGTTGAATGGACTTTTTTCCTAAGTCCCTCTGCACATGCACAGAAGCAGACAAGCACAGGTGCACTCCTGTCTGGAAGTTCAGTCAGCCCCTGTGTAGTTCCAAGACCTCCTTCACCCTGACACACCTGTACGGCCCCCCACAGGCAGCCGATGGGGGCATTGAAGCACACCTCAGAGTGGGGTTGGAGGGGAAAAACAAAGGCCCGCACCGGAAACGGAGAGGAATGATTGCACTACTCATGTGTTTCCATGGTGCGCCTGGACGATCAGATGCCTGGAAACCTGCCATGGAAGCGCCTCACTGAGGTAGTAACCAGAAGTTGCCAGTGGCTATTTAACCTGCGTGGGAGTCATTTTAGTGCAAGGTAGGGACGACTGGGGCATTGGATCACACCTATTTGATCTAGAGAGGTGACGTGGCTATGTCGGGCCAAACTGCTTGTGTGATCGCACCCGCTATGTCAGCATTTAGAACTAACAAAACAAAATAGGAGATACACAGTAGATAGTCAACCCACCAAAACAACTGTGTATGAAATGTAAACCACACCAATTACTGTAAAGCGGTTTCTATGAAAATGTGAAAATCAGAACTACATTAACAAATATCAGTGAAAAAGAGACCTCTGTCTACCATACAATCTACTATGAAGTCATATGACTGGTCTAGACAGCTGATGAAGTTTTTTGGACGTTTTCTGTGCTTATGGGAGACTTTAGATTATGCTATAGGTTCTTCTTTGGATAAAGCATATGATATATGTGGGAACTTCACAGCTAGCCAACCCGTGAAGCAATGATGGAACCTGCCTCAAGCAATATTGGAATCTCGTTTTTGTGAAGACAAGCATCAACAGGACCTATCCTGATCAAGACATATCTGTCGGACTTTGATTGTACAACCATCCTGTATTACAGTTTGTAGGCGTATCTTTTGTGAACGCCCGTGGTTTTGTATTATGATTTCATAGTAGAAAATGCCAAAGCAGGATTACAACTGAACATGAAGACAAAAGTAGTGACTGCTGGGGAATTATACAAGTTTAAGGGTGACAGGCGAATCTAAACAGCATGATAAAAAGTAGAGACATCACCCTGCAAACAAAAGTCCGCATGGTCAAAGCAATGGTATTCCCAGTAGTCATGTATGGCTGCAAGAGTTGGACTATAAGCAGAGGTCATTTCGGGGGGGAACGTGGGGGAACACAGTTCCCC